AACTTGGCAACCAATTTGTAATTCAAAATAACTTATTTCTCTGGAAAGCATCAGTGAGTGATTCATCTGCCATTTTCAACTTGTTAGCACTTGTTATCCAGTGACAAAATAGATTGTCATCTTTGGATAAATGTTTTTGGCCCTCATATTATTATTTGCTTTGTGTTCTGCTGCAGAATCTCCACATAGACTGTATTTTTGCTAAGTCACCACAAGAGCTTTCTCAGTCGACACATGGGCAATGCATCACCGAGGGACTGCAGGAGCTGTGTGCTCAGAATATATAGTACTGTGCAGTGCAGTGGAAACAAAGTGCAGCTTCATTGTCTGTGACAGTAGGTCAGACACATGCTGCACACATGCACGGATGACTCACACATGTGGAGTCGGTTCAGGATGAATGGTCTGATCCAGATTTATTGTCAACTCACCGAAAACAAAGTTGTCAGGCCTGAATAGCTGCCCAAATGGACCAGAGCGAACTGAATCCATGGTTCCTGGTTCCAGGTCCACCAGAATGGCTCGGGGCACAAATTTGCTGCCTTTGAATACGAGGACAGGGAGGGATGTGGAGGGGTAATGGATGGAAATATCAACAGTCTCAGTAACCTCAGCAACACCGGCAGTAAACCATGAAGAAAAACCTCAGCATATTTCAAAAGATTCGCAAGCAGCATTTCCTTAAAGATACAAGCCTCTCAATTAAGCTGGGAATCCAAAGCGTCTTCTGTTCTTTTCTTGCTTTTTGCCTTGCCCCACCCTTTCTGCCTGTCACCCTTCTTGCAAAACTGCTGCAGCGTGCTGCACAGCTTAATCTAAACCAATGGGGTTTTCAAAGTGCTGAGTCTTGCAGGAAGTATTCAGACACAGAAGCAGTCTTCCTTGACTTTGCCTCGTTTCACTTTCTTGCTCAGTGCTGAAGTTTTAATGTTGCTTATGAATCTGCACTTTTTATTTTAAGGACAATTTGTTTTGTTCAGTCTGCATTAGGTAGTTACCCCCCGTGACACTGAAGCCGGCATGCAACGTGGAAACAAAGAATCAATAATGCATGCTGCTGGGAAATAGGATATGGGTAGATTGTTGTCCTTTATTGCCAATGCAGATGAGTAAAAGGTTGGATATCAACCCTGGGTGCATGTGGATTGAGATGTCGACCAAAAACATGAGGCCTAATGATGAAACACATATACTAATTCTTTATTATCCCTGCGCCTTTATTTACCAGGCACTGATTGGCTGCTTGATGTACGACAGCTGTGAGCAACAAAGCAGGTTGTATTTAGAAGGACTTGCAACACAGGCACCAGTAAAATCAGATACTGAGCATGAGTTCAGCTATACTGAGACTGCAGATACCTGTGCTCCCTATAGAGAGACAGAGGGGGAGGGGTGAGACAAGGACACAGAAAAAGAGATTTTTAGCAGGTGCACTGTCCTCATTTGTGTCCCTTCACTCATAGCAGAACCTAGTTTCCACTGCAGCTAAATTAGTGACATGAGCAAACTGTGACAGTCAAATGAGGTCTGTGTAGCATAAGGCCATGCAAGAATAATGATCAGTGGTTAAAAAAAGCTGCTTTGTGTATAGTGGAAAATTCAAGCATGTGGTTTATATTAAAGCAACATTTTCCTTCTCACCTGATGCCTCATTGTAGTAGACATTTATCCTCTCCAACTGCAGCTCACTGTCACCTTGGTAACTACCGGTTGGATCGATGCCATGTTCATCACTTATCACCTCCCAGAACTAAGACAAAGCCATTACTATTCATTAGCATTTTTAAAAAACTCATTAATTTACTTATTTTTTTAGAGTAACACAGCAAAAACGAAAACATGAAGCAAGTTTGACGTGTGTGCGTCAGGCCTTGTTTTAGTTTTTGCGCATCTGGTGGCACAATGACGCGCAGCAGCGCAGGCCACATCACCTGAAAGATCAACCAGACTGAACCGCTCCATATAGGTATGTTAATCCGTGATTGATCGATATTAAACTCTTAAAGACAGATTTGTAATCACTTCGATTTAAATGTGCCGAACTAACCGCGCTTTGTAAACTATTAAGGCACACAAACGCGGTGACGTTCCACATTTAAATGAAAATTACTCCTTTAGATCCCTTCTTCAGAGATTAAATGAAGACATTTATACCTTGGCCCCAATCTGATTTCCGCACTGACCAGCCTGGATGTGAACGATTTCCCTCATGGTGAACTGCGGATGCGTGCAGGCAGCGTCCTTTCTCGACTTTAACTGGCGTCCACTCTTCAGTGTCTTGCCGCGGTGTTTCTCAAAATCAGGACTTGCCTCATTTCTCGGGTGAGTGTTGAGCCGGCGAGATAGATAAACGTGCTGCTGGTCAGATGACGTTATACACAACGCAGCATCCTCAGCATCCCTGTTAGCCAATGGGAGCGCCCCGGTTTGATGCAGTGGACCAGCGGATCATGCCGCATCATGGCCCTGACATCACCCTGTCCCATACAGGCAAGCATAAAAAAAAAAAAAGGGTTGGCTTTCTCACTCGAATGGGGATGTTTTAAAAGATCCACATAATTAATTTCGCTATTAGAAGATGTCAGACTTTACCAGTTTAATGCTCCAGACTACAGCTGCTGATTCATCCCAGTCGTCTTTTAAGCAGCTACCTGTAGAAACGAGCCCAGTTTTTAAGGCTTTTGTGGGTTTTAAGACTTAGCTAAGGCTAGTAGCGAACCTTTCCTTGGAAGGCACAGATTCTCCAGCTAGTTGTGCCACTGTATGTTACCTAAATGTATTAAATAACCGACTCTATGTAGGACTGGTCCTCAAGAGATAAGAGGTAAAAGTCAACCCTAGGGAACTTTCCATGTGACTGTACCTCCATTACTTTGATGCAGGCTAAAAAGGAAAATATCTTAACATTCAGGAAACGTGAGGAGTTATAAATCCTACTTTCTGATGCCATTGATTGCGAAATGTCTCAGCTTGTCTATAACGACTTGAAGCCTAAGGGCTTCGAGTCATAATAGACTGCATTCAAGTTCGCCCATTCCCCCCTTCTTCATCTTCTTTGAACGCCATTATTAGAATACTTGAATAGACTTTAACTTGATGATGATTTTTTTAAAAGACACAGAAGTCATAAATGTCATAAAAACACATCAATATCAACAGTTGATCAATAAATAGTGGTTTATTTTAACAACAGGTATGGCTTATATACAAGTGCATGATGACTGTTAAACTGAAAACAATATGAAACCAAACAACTGGAATTTATAAATGGTACAATCCATGTTTTTGTTTTTTTTGTTATCATTTTATTTATTTATTTTACATTCATATCTCCCCTTTAAAGAGATCTTAAGTCGCATGGTTAAGAGAAGCAACACCTGAAATGTGTATACTGGGGCCGTCCTATGTGAGACTTTCATCTGCCGGGTTCAAAACAAGTCCTTGCTAAGATCCAGGATCCTTCATCTTATTTAAGCTCGATGTTTCCACACATTTACCGTATTTACAAAAGACAATCTTCTTCTTCCTCCTCTTTTTTGCTTGCTTTTCCAACAATTAAAAAATCCTATTCTATCGCTGGTGCTAACATTGCTTTGGATTACTTTCACTAAACTTTCATTTTGCTTCAAATAGAGTCAAATAAAAGGATTATTAACAAAAAAGTGTAGTTACTCCCATCTGCATGGGAGAAAAGTGAGGAAGCAACATATCTCAGAAGACACTGGTTGCATCGTGCTGTGTCATTAACGTTACAGATGTCGCGTGGGATTTAGTCGATACACACTTCAATTTTTGCAATACACACTGAAATAGAGAGAGATCAACATTCACCGAGGAGGATTCCGAGTAAAATGAAGCTACTGACCACTGCAGTCCACCCACTCTCAACTGCAGATGCCAAGATTTCCTTATTAAATCTAGTGTCAACACCCTTTTCAACATTGTAGACTGCATGCTGATCTATTGCGTGCAGTCTACAACGTTGAAAAGGGTGTTGTCAACCCCAACAAAATCTGACATCACACGGTTGCAGGTCATTGTGCTTTCACTTGTAGCAGCACAGCATACACAGGTTTAAATGATCTCAAGAAATATTTAAACAATATTAATGACTAGATGGTCGTCGTTCACAGCCACCCTAGATCAATCAAAAAGTGGAGCCATCGTGGTGTGATTTAAGCTGCATTTGAGTAAAACAACCACAGGTAGGCTTTTGCAATCATTCAAATAAATATCAAAAGATATGCAGGCTTTAGTCAGTGCAAAGTTGACTTTGATAAAAGCAAAACTTAATTCTAGTGACTGAAGTAGCTGTAAGGTTTACGGAAAATCTTCCGTCAAGTCGGCTGTTGCGTTTGACTCCTGAATGACACCTTAATAGAACTCCAAATACTCCCTGGATATAAGTAATTATGATACACTGTGATCATTTTAGCACATTTGAAATGACAACACATCACTCAGTTGGCTCTAAAGTTTTACAGTACAGTGTAATTATTATTATTATTAATAATAATGATCATTATTACGAGGATTGTTGTAAACAGTGGATTATCTGTAATCACACATCCTTCCTTAGACAAATATTACAACCTCCAAAGCACAAAGTACTACAACAACTGTCAAGTTTCACACACATTTAAGTCAAGTATAATGTTGTCCGCAGACGGACATGGGCTTTGGAAGGAAAAGTGCCTCCTCAAGCAAAAGTCTATCAATTTAAGAATATCAGTCGGTTAATCTGACTGAACGGTTGTGACCTGTATTTTTAAAATGTCGTTTTGACAAATGTAAGAAGTATTGCATTTTTTTTTTCCTTCTTTTAAGGTAAACTTAGTTGTGCATGTGAAAGTATGAACACCCCGACGTTAGTAAGCTCTTAATGTCGGACCACGATTCGGAAAACACAAGGTTAGTGGTGCTGCGACATTTGGCAATCGCGTCAAACATTTTCGGGTTTAGGTTCAAAAATAATTTTTTTTTAGGAAATGATTTTTTTTTTCTTCTTCTTCTTTTTTTTAAGCTTTTTTGTTTGTTGCCGACACATTCACAATAAATTTTCATGCTTAGTCCCCACTTCGAAAGATAAAGTGCCACCACACCGAGGTGCCACAAATACTGTAAGAATGAAGTATAGCTCTGTACAATAAGGGCACGCCATGAGAGATTATTCAAAACAATACTTTGAATTTAAAAAAAACAAAACAATCAAGCGTAACAAGTAATTATCAATATACTTACATTAATACATTTACAAAAAAAAATCAAAAAACATTTGCATACCATAAATTTCATTGGCTTGAATGATTGGAAAAATAAAAGTTTCTTCTGACCGACAAAATGTGGGTCATTCTTTTTCACCAGTATCACTGCTCATATGCATCACAGATATGCTTTCTGTCAATTTTAATTCATCAAATGGTGATAAATTGTTCATTCTTCTTCTTTACTTCCTAGTTTTGGAATAGGTATCCACATATAGCCTATAGCAGGAGAGAGCACTTAACAGTATTCTCCCAAACAGGCAAATACTATATCACTAAAGTTTTGGCACTATTTCTACACTTTATTTTGGTCAGGGTAGTTTTTTGGCATTTTCTTTTTAAGAAAAAAAAACTATTCCAATTCTGATTGCTTACCTCTATAGCAACAAAAAGCACTTTGTAACATTCAGATTTACTTGTCCATACATATAAAGCAACCTTTTTGTACAAATATCTTGACATTACCTTTGAGCACAAGTACCAGTGATTTTTGTTTGTTTGTTTGCTATTAGTACCATTGCATTTCTTCCCCAGTGCTGATGACACGTCTCAGTAATTATGGGAATTGCTTTAAGTCTCTTAAAAATGACAGTGATTTTGTCCCCGTTCATTTACGTCAGAGTAGTTAAAACGCTGGTGATTTCCAGTGACATTCAACGAAGCGCAGAAGTTACTGTCACATTGTCACATACCAGCCTGTGGCATTCTCCCGCTTGCATGGTCTCATTAGGTGGCTAAATGCACAAAAGGGTGCAGCAGCACTGAAAAAACTAAATACAAAAACACCCAAAACAAAACAAAACCCAAAAAAAAATGAAACTTTGCAAACATGTTAACTCAACTCCAGGTGGGGAACAGTCTTCATTAAGAGCCTGCAGTCTAAGCAGGCCAGTTCCTGTTCCCATTGATGCAATGTTCATGTGGGTGGCTGCCTCCTGGTGAGACAATTAAAGCTTCAATTCCTGGCTGAAGAAGTGGATCACGATGATGCCATGCCGTTGACAGTGCTGTTTTCTGTGCTGGCACTGTCCCTGTCCCTGATCGAGAGAACACCCGAGTCTATGGGGGAGGACACCGTCCAGTCCATTAGAGAGGAGGGAGTTGCGTCTGTGGAGGCTGAATCTGTGATGGAAGATGGTACTGAATCTAAGACGAGGCGAGCGGCTGATCGTGGTTCAGTGTCTGTGACAGTCAGAGTGGTTGATTCTAGAGTGGAGCTACGTGCAATGTCTGTGACGGGGAGAATGGAAGGAGACTGTGCTGCATTGTTGACTGTATTTATGACAGCGCGAGTGGAAGAGTCCTCTGAGTCAATGCATGGAGGAGGTGTGTTTGGAGGTAAAACGTATTTTTCTTCAACGCAGGGAGAGGTAGAATCTAACTGAGGTGGCCGGGAGTCTATGAGAAGGAGGGTGGGTTGATCTCTTACGGAAGGAGGAGATAAATCCTCATCTCCTCCATCCATAGGAGAAGGAGGACTGTCTCTTATGGAAGGGGGAGAAGGAGAACCCGCTGAAGTGGCGTGAGTATCCTTGAGCAAAGGCGGGTCAGATGTTGTGCTTATATTTTCGATGTCATTATCCAGCGGGTTCGGAGATTTTAAAGTGGAGCTCGGTGGGGGCTCGATGATGGGCGTGGTGCAGATCAGCAAAGAGGAGGGTACAGTTTGAGGGACGGGGGGAGTGGAAGAATCCAATGAAGCAGCAGGTGTAATTTCTGCTTCTCTTGTTGGGGATTCACCACTGTCATTCATTTCAGGTAGGGATGAATCTAACAGTGGTTCCACAGACTCCAGGACGATTGCAGGAGGTTCTTCTGCAGCAGCTAAAAGTGGGTCTGTGACACACGGGGCTTTGTGTAAAGGAGTGGAAGACAGCAGGTGCTCTTTACTGCCCTGTGTGACGGCGTCTTTACCCAGTGTCATCATGTTGCCCGCAGATGAAGATGAAACAGAGTGACCGTTGGGATCTTTAGGGCCAGCCACAAAGGAGTGCATCTCGATTAACTGCATACCTCCAGTCAAATCAATAGCTGAAGAGGCAGTAGAGTCCATGATGATGATGGGCGCTTCATGAAGTGGTGTGTCACGCACTCTTGTGTAGTCCCTGGTGCTGTCAGACGTGTGCAGCAATCCAGGTTTCCTCGGGGGAAGCAGGGGTGGACGGGTGTAGTTCTCGACATCAGCCAGGGTCTCGGGGAGTGGCTGATTGCGCGTTTCAGGCAACAGGAGAATGCAGATGATACAGATGAGAGTGCAGCAGGCAAAAATTATGTGATGAAGGAAATAGCCCTTCTGATTGTGGAGTTCCATGATGGGTTCAGTAAGCATGCCAAAGCCAGCGCTGGCCAGGACCAAGCCTAAACCACCACCCCTATGGGAAGACAGAATATTTATTAGCTTGTAATATCAATAGAAAATTGGGATGACCTCACAAACCTTTAAAACCTCTCACAAATATTGAAATTACTGCAATTTAAGTGAATCACAACCTGCACGTTGTTCTGGAAAGCTAAATCTGGTATTTAAAAGCAGTTTTGTTTTACCCTCCTCTTCTTTTCTGCCTTTTTTCCGAGGAGCAGCAGAGAGTGCTGCAGCACCGTCTACACCATCAACTCCATGTTCAAATTCGCTTTCCTGTCATTGCCAAAGTTAGCCACTAGATGGTGCACTTCACACATTGTTAGCAGAGCAATGCTTTAAAAAAAACTATATTTTTATACATCAAGTGCTGTGTCACACATCCTCAAAAGGCTAGATAATTTGTGCAAGTTGTGGATTACATTTGATACGGAGTTGTGAGTCTGTCTTTTCTAGCAGTTCAGGAATTTCATACCGATATTAAACAGGAGGAGGAGCAGAATGGATGGTCACGATTAAAAACAAAAACAACAGCTACACTAAAAAATGAATTATAAGTTCTCCAGAACAATGAAACAGATTTTTAAAACAAAGATTTTGAATTGTGAAACACTTGTCAGCCTGAATATTGTTTTACTCCTCTGCAAAATAAGAACACATTTTCCACATTATCTCCCCTCCTCTGATGGTACAGTCTTGCTCTTGCAGTGGGTTTACCTGATCACAGTGGGAGTGATCTCAGCACAGAAGAAGATGCTCAGGGCGCTGACTGCGTGGGAGGAGAACATACCGATAGCGGAGAAGCCAATGGTGAAATGCGTATTCATTGTACTTGTGGTATCTGCAAAAGAATCAGGAGACACAAACATGGAGATTCTTCACTCAGTATGCTGTGTAATCAGTGAAAGGACAACAGTGGTTTATATGTAAAAATGTGTTAAATTTACTTTTCAGGGAAAATGATTGCAAGTATTTGCCAAAATTATTATTTTCAAAAATTATAATGTTACAACAATTCTGGTAAATTCAATGGAGTTAGATCAGGCAATGCAATGACAACAAAGGCTATTATTTTAGCTTTTGTTTTGATGTAAGTTCAACAAAAAGTGATATAGAATGAGGAGCTGTTGAGAAACGAATCTGCAAACAATGAGCCAATTTAGCCCAAAGACTGTTTAAATAGGGTGTTTTACAAATAAGACATACTAAAGATGGCATAATGGCATAAAGAGGTGTAGAGGAGAACTACCCTGAAATCAGCTCTCGCTTACCACAGGGGGATTAGTGTGGAGAGATTACAGGCGATGGATAAACAGAAGAGAAAAGTAAAGGAAGGCTGGTGGTGAGTTCATGGTTCTGTAACAAAGAGGCTCGCCCTCTTTAACATAAGGGGATAAATAAATAAATAAAAAGAGAGCCTAGAACTTCATCATGAGTCTCCACAAGGCTTGCATAGGCCTGACAAAATGCTGGGTATCTGCATGAAGCATATTTTCCTAAACCTTTATCAAGTGAATGCAACAGTCTGAGTTATGAGATTGAGATATATATATATATAAAACACAAGCTAATATTTTTACAAAATGCAACACTTATGAATATATATGAATATATGAGTATATATGAACAGATAGACTTACTTATTTTCAGGTGTTCACTGTATTTCCCCAACACTAGAAAAATATTGAAAATATGAGGAATCATTAGAAAAGAGTGACAAATAGTGAGAATTAACACATGTTGAGCTAAGCCTTTCAGCACAGCGTAACAAAGGGAAAATAGAACATGAGCATAACCTTGATGTGTTGACTCAGGTTAAACATTAAGTGTAACTCGTTTGTAACTGAATAAACTGTTGCTGGCTGTTTTGATCATCTGAGGCACTTCTGGTACTCACTGACAATGTAATCAAGTTCAGGGACTGAACAGGGACAAAACAACTAAAGGTAGCAAATCTCGTAACAACCATCATGTTTAATGTGTCCATGAATAGCAAAAATGTAGGACTTTTTTTTTTTTTTTTTAGATGTATGCACTTGTAAGCATGTGTCATTTACACAACATTTGTAAAAATGTTAGAATTGGGAGAAGGAATAGCTCAGTATTAGGTAGCATGACAGAATTACATTTATTACTCACAGTTGTTCTTTAAAAATATCTGTGAAGTATACACATTTCTATGGGTTCTGTTTTTGTTGCGGTTGTTACTTTTGCTTTGTTTATATTGAATAAATTACCTTATAGTTACCACTGTAGTTATTGATACAAGCATAACAATGTGCTCTCCATGTGGCCTTTTTTCATTTACACAGCCAGGCTGGCTGGTTGGCCTTGCTTTTTGCTAACTCTGTTGAGTTGAGACTTCATTTTAACTAACAGATCTCAGATTTTGCTGATTTTGATCTAACTTTATTTCCCAAAATGTTAAACTATTGCTTCCATTTATGTGACTAAGAGTTCTTTTTGGGGGGTTTTATATTGTGGACTTTAGACCATAGTCAATCTCAATAAACTGCATGAGAGTGGCCTCCTCAAGAACCGCTAGAGCTTTTTCATGTTATAGGAGTTCCTATGTAATACTCACAGTTAAGTAGACCCAACTGCAGCAGAGATGCGAGGGCAGTGATGATCATAAACAGAAGAAGGCCACCGCGACGGCCCATCAGGCAGACCGCTGGACATAGTGCAATGCATGATGCAACCGCGATGCCTGCCATTGTGTAATAGTGTGTATAGAAGTCAGGGAATATGGTGGTTCCCTGAGCTTCAGGATCCATCATGCTGCGGGCAAAGCAGTGGTGGATCCCATAACCAGTTAACCTGAATAAAAAACAGAGAAAAGAGAAAAGCAAGTCAAAAAAAGCGACATCTCAAGCAATACAACGGCTACATCAGGAGACACTGAACTACATCTTTCGTAAGGGTACCAAGTAAACTGTGTAAAGCAGTGCTTTCTCTAATCTCAGTGTATTTTGAAAAAAAAACAAAAAAAAAACCTCACATGTGTAAACATGGATTTATTGGCACACAGAAACACACCCTATGTACACACAAAAAAAAAAAGACAAAAGCAAGCCCTCACACCCTCCTTCCGAGTTGTCTAATGTTTCATAAGGACAAAGCTCATGTAAAATTTATGCAAACAGGGAATCAGGGACACTGTGCACCAAAGCAGAGGTAGAGCTCGGTCTGCCAGGCAAGAGATGAGGTCTCAGATCGAAGGAAGAGTCCATTGGAGATGAAAAGAGAGAGCAGCACAAATATGGAAGGACAAAAGAAGAAACAGCTAAAGATCAATCCTCTATCCAGCCCGCAGGTTAATAGTGGCATCTTGACTCCACAAAATGGCAGGTCTGAGTGGCATTGCACTCCAAGTACCTGTATTATATACATCTTTTCAAGTCCTGACACACTCACAAACACACACACACCCTCGTTAGCACACTGACACATATAACCCTGTTCTCAAAAAGGCAGAATAGACTGGAAAAAGCAAAAAGCAGACCCTTTATTGGATCCTATGTTGGACTGAAAATGAACTTTATGTACATTAGACTACATGTGTTAGAAACAGGAAATGATGTTTCTGTGTGTCTTGGGTTAAAGAGGAGGGTGATTGGCTTGTTACCAGTATACACGTCTGTGTTTTTTTCTTATTAAATCAATCACTATTGCACCAAACTTCAAAAGCAATTATCTAAAAGGCTTTAAGAGGGCATTAGTGCACTTGGCATGGAAAACAAACACATCTGCAAAGGCACTGTTAGCGCTGTATATTATTACAGTACATGGGTTTTGGAGAGATGATTGTCCCCATTCACATGTTTTTTTAGCGAAATACTTGCTCATTACACAGTACACATGTATTACAACTGCATGAGTCTGCAGTACAAAAGTCCAGAGGCTAAACCAGCGTGCCTGTAGTCGAGTACTGTGACCGACTGAAAAATGTGAATCATTACATTATAAAACTAAAAATATGACAGAAAAGAGTCTGCAAACTGCAGCAGAAATCCTATATCAAGGAAGCAAAGCATTATGCTTTCATAACCACACACTTGGCTTCATGCTTACAGAGTGTTAAAATGCATTAAAATAAGAACTCTCTTTTTAAATGATCCTAGCATCAAATTCAAGGTGAACAATTATCAGAAAAAGTTAGAGACACAAATAAAGATACAGCTTCTTGATTTATGTCACTGATCTACCATTTCAAATAATTACATGATTTAAATGATTTGCATTCTTTAACACAGAATTATTTTTACATTTTAAGACAGCCACTTACGAGGTGACACAGAGCACAACGATATTCTTCCAAAGGGTCCTCGTCCCAACCATTTTCACAATGCATGTTTTCTTGGGCCTCTGTTGAAGAGATCTTTGTAGTTCTGGGAACAGGAAAACACAGATATTATTAAAGCTTTGCCAAAAATAAAAAAAAATATCATAAAAATTATAGAACTCACATTTGTTTCTTTCCCCCCCCTATTTACTGTTTCACATATACAACCGGGCTGGTTCTTATTTCCCCACTGAGGGACATTAAATAAAGGATACTTCTATTCTATTCTATTCTATTCTTATATAACACTATTATACTCCTCTTGAGCACTCAAAGCACTTTATACAAGTTGCCTCATTCACCAAGTGCTTCCTATCTAACATTAGAGAAATTAACAAACTGTTATTTATTTAATAAATACATTGGAAAAAGGAATGAAATGAAAGTGAAAGTGGTAGAATATTTCCTTTTTTTTTCCTGGCATTTCGATTGAAAAGTCAACATCTATCCGTTGTTGCACTGCAGTACAGTAGTACACAAACCTGAATAATAAACTAAGTAGAATTACCTTAAAGTGTAGGTAAAATTCAAATGTTTCAAACCCTTCTAAAGAATGGGGTTCTGGAAAGTTTTGTATTTGAATGATGGTACTGTAAATATAATGAGTAAAAGTTGGACAGTTATCTGGGTTTGAAACCACAGAAACTCTATGTTTTGGTGAGCTCATTCATTCCACACAGGTACCATCCCACAGCTTTGTCAAACAGGTATGGTAACACTAACAGGAGAGCAGCTACCAGCGGGCAACACCCCTGAGCTGCTCGTGATACATGATATAACACACTTAATGTTTTGGTATCAGTCTGCAGGTTGCCACAGTAACACACCTCTGCCTCATGCTAGTTCATTTTTCACATTGACTCAGGCATGCGAAGGTTATCTCTGGCTAACCACTCAGGTTTTCCAGTGATCCCCTGCGTAAGATCAACTGTGCTCAGAGCTGTGCAAATCATTCCACTTTTTCAAAGGGGATCAAGTAAATTGTTCTACATGAATAAGACATGCTTCAGTCTGCTTCTATAGCATAATTTAGTGCCGAGAAATTGAAAGTAGAGAAATAGCTCATGCTTCTCTACCGTATGGGGAAGTTTGTACATAAAAAAAAAAGATAAGTGCATTACCATAGACGTAGATTTATGTCCCTAAATGCTAAGAGTCAGCACAGAGACTCCGACTTCTAAAAATATGCAGTCAATTTCACACTGTGGCTCCTCTTAAAGCCTTTTATCTCATAGTGGCACTTCCCTTCCCTCATTTTTCAAAAAGGAGTGATAACTACGCAATGGCAGGACAAAAACAGGGAAACAAAGTATATATAATAAACAAACACTTATACAAATCTGCTATTGATTTTCACAACAACACAATCCAAACTGCTTTGTTCTGGCTGGTCTGAGTACAGTTAACATGGGGTCAAATGCCTGACCTACAACCATCTGCCATCTGCCCACTATTGTGTCAGCTCATGCCCACCCATCCAAGCTATAATGATATTAATGAACATTTGAGAGTGCCATAATCCAATGTTCAACACCCAATGCTACCTTTGTAGTGGATTATTTTTGTGTTAGCAAGATGGGAAATGTATATAACCTTGTCAATCTGTCTCATTTGGATAAGCGAAGCTGGGAATAACAATGCAGACCACGCCATTCAAAATAAAGGCCTAGCAGACACCTTTGCAGGGAAGCAGTATGTCGCGCAAAACATATCAAAATATAAAATGCAGACATTGAGTCTGATATCTTTAAATTACTGTTGAAGGATTCATTACCTGTGAGGATGTTCTCTGGGTCAAGCTCCACGTTCACTTGATTTTTCTCTACTATGTGTCCCATGATACACTTGGAGCGACTGTACTGCTGAGTGGCGAGCAGCCAACGCAGTGACTCAGGGAAGATCCTGTCAAAAAGATGGGGGATGTCCTTGTTAATATGACATGAAAAATGAGTCAGGGGAAAAAATGAGTCAAGGTATCAGCTTGCAGAAAGAGTACATGTGTCTATGAAGACAGTCAATAACATAACGACTGGTGCTGCATTTGGATGAACCTCTGTCTACAAAGTAGATGTGCAGGTTTCATCATTTTCCACATGTGTGGTTTGCAACTATCCCTCTCCCCCCCCTCACCCAACGTCATTAGATCACCTGCAGCGTTTAAATTTTCAACCTAATCAGCTGTATTCCAGATGTTTGCAGAGTCAGCCACAGTTAATCAGGAAAGTTAACACAGCTTTGGAAATTACCTTAAAGGCTCTTGCCAACTTTTGTGTGCTAAAAAAAATGTGTGCTGTGTGACAGAGACATCACACTTTGATGACACAGTATCACATGACAGATTGTTAGATTGCTGGATTGATAATAAAAGTTTACAGAGAACCTCTCGGGCTGAGTTCACCGTGCAATGTCCAAACTTGTGATATCAACAGAAGTTCCACAAGTTTCACAACCTGCTTCATGTCCTTGAATTGTGTAGTCTTTAGCAAACAAAGCCATGATTGCGTCACAGCATACAACTGTTGCAAATCCCATTCAACAGCTGAGCCATCAAAATGCTGAGTGATAATGAATGCTGTATTTTTTTTTTTTTTTATGATCGGAACAATGGAACTGAGGACATATCAACATTTTCTTATTTACCAAATCACAATGACTAACCTGACATGTGCCCGAGGTGTATTTCCATCCCTTCTCCACACTGTTTCTTATGCTAATGAAAGTGTATTGCATGACAAAGACTGATGTTTGACAAGATGTTTGCTTTGGATTACTTCTGACTGTTACTGAACAGAACCCCCCTTTGTTTTGCAGGGACATCAAAGATACCAAGGCCTTTGAAACTCTGGCAAAATCTATATTCCTGCCATCTTTGTAGACATCAGCACTATTACAGAACTGTGTTCAGTGAGGTAGAATGAATGGTGTATTTATTGCTTATGCTTTGGAAAAAGTCAAAGCAGAGGTTTAAGTGTAAAAGATACCTCAGCTTGGACTTTAGTACTATTTTTAAGCTTGTAAAAATAATAAGAAGAAGAAAAACCTCTGCAAGTGTATCTTTTGTTAAACAGTGCTTAATTTACTGAAAGGAAAATCAATAAATCAAGTCACACCTGATCGCCGTGGATGCATCTATTTAAACTGTTGTGTAACTGAAAAAAAATATTTTACGTTTAACAGAATATCAAAATCAAGATAAGATAACCCGGTACCAAAGTGCAGCGAATGCTAAGGTCTTTTCCTTACCAAATGTAGGACAGCATAAGCAGCAGGGGACAGATGATGACAGCTTGAAGTACCTGCCAGTTGCGACAGAGGTACGCCACTCCAGGCATCAAGAGCCGACCACCCAAAACCACAAAGCTGGCCACCATGGTCATGGAAAATCGCCATCTTGGCAGGCACAGCTCGATCCCTGGCAAAGAGAACGACGAAAAGGGAAAAAAGTACAATGTGTTTTTTTTCTAGTCGAGACATATTTAGAAAAATGATATAAAATGAGTGGAAATACCAGAATTTCAAAATTTCTTGGGAAGATGACACATGGGACTGACACTAGTTTTTGTATGTTCAAACTAGCTATAATCTTTGGAAATTTTGGAGCACAAAATAAAATGAAGTTGCTTCAAATAAAAGGGTTCCCATAAATGAGTTGTTCTGAGATGTTTGTACCCATTCATATGCAGTTGAATTACCTGGCGAATGTAACATTATAATGATGATATTTACCTTTTTGCAATGAAGAAAAATATTTTCAATCACTTTAGAGAAAACTGAGAACAGCATAATGCGTTCATTGACTTTTGGGGGAATGAAATGTGCAATCTAGAGCAAAGTTGATGAGTAAACGGGAAAAAAAAAAACAGAGCAACAACTCTGACTAGGCGAGGCAGGCAGGTCAGAACAGGGATCCTGGCGCTGTCATCAGCAAATGAGGTTTATTGTTTCAATGCAACACATCCTAAAATCCAGAAATTACTGCTGTTGCAGCGTGGCTTTTTACACAGAGTAAAACTAAGTTGACACCAAAAACACTCACACATCCGAGAAAATTGTTATCTTTTTAATAAGTCTGGAACATTCCTAGTTTCTCAAAACAGGAGGATGGAAGCTACGTTATTGTGCTAATCTTAGTTTTTGAGATTTAATTAATGAAACGCTTAAGTCATCAGTCAGAAAATTATATAACTCCAGTGCTTACTGTGTACAGTTTTTTTTTTTATTCTGAGACAGTACAGAGATGAAGACAGTAGGCTGCTGAACAAACAAGAAAGGGGTTCCTTGTGCTTCTTTCCCCTCGATCAGAATGGCACTGATTCATTCATTCGGTCATTAGCATGCACACCCCACTGGCAGCAAGCAACCACAGACAGTTCAGCCCTTTAGTTACTGCAGTACAGAGGAGAAGTTCACACCACACCATAGAAAGCCAATGCTGCTGTAATGCCGCTTCTCTCATACAACCAGAATCTTTTGTCTTGCTTCATTGGTCCCTTTTGTTATACATCACTTTTCTTCTACCCAGGAATTTTAACCGTCTCCAGTGGGCCTTTCAAGGTGACAGGCCCAGGATAATACAGTGGATGTCGGCTGCTTCACTTCATTCCAGTGGAAAAGACCGGAATTTCAATTAGGACTTGCCCCCCTCTGAGGACATGAATAATGCTCTCTGTTCACAGACACTATCGCAGCTGGTATGACAAAGCCAATGAGTGGAGAGCAGGGCGATGGGTGCAAGACCTGCTGAGTTTGAACCAACTAACCTCAAGACTCCTTCACTGTGTGCCTGTGGGAGAATAGCACCGGCTCACTGGTTAAGGACCGCATGGGATTTGAATTCTTTGGTTTTGTATTTATGTACGCAAGGCATGAGGCACTGAGACTCATGCACTCTGACCAGAAAAGTACATCCCGTGGTGAGGTGTGGAAAAGCATTAGGCAAAGCGGCACAAACTTCATTAAGATATCAATTATGACAATAAGGATATTTAATTAAACTAAATGCAGAATAAGAAGCAGAAGCTGTGGAAAAGAGGCCTGAGCTTCTTACTCATGTTGACCCTAATCCTCCACAACCTGCTAGATCAGCATTCCCATAATGCTCTGCAGCAGAGTCTGTCCTACTGACATAAATCTACCAATTACAAATCTAATGTTACATATAAGAAATTGACTAAACTTGGAAACCAAAGGCCTCCCGAGGGGGGCGGAAAAGTGACACATAAAAGATAATAGGAAAAAAAAGCATTTAAATGTATTTGTACCACTCCCATTAGTAAAAATAGAAATTACATCATCAATGATTAGGCTAAAAATCCAATTAATGACAATGATAATCCCCAAAGAAGATTTGGCTGGTTTGCTGACTTTGGCAATGTGAGAATGTGAATCACACTCAAGCACAAAGTGCAGCAGCTCACCAGTAGCTCATGAGTCCCTCTTTGTAACAGGGATTTAAATGCGTCTTCTGAGATCTGGTCACAACTCAGACTGCAGAATGAGCGAGAACGTAACCAAGATACATTGAGGATACATTAAGATGTGACCACTCAGAACACCTCAGAGTGGTCCAGGCCACATATGGCTTTATCCTTTTAGCGGCACGCGTGCATGTTTCCTGTTCCACATTACAGTACAATACTACACTGATATGTGTGTGTGTGCCACTGCTGAAAAACAATAGATTTGGCAGTCTTGCACCCTCAGCTGTTATTTCACAACTGCCTTGCATAAAGCTGCTAGCTAATTGCATAAATAAAAGTAAAACCCTTTAAGAAGATTGACTGTGTAGCCTATGTGTTTAATCATCAGCTCATCGAAGTTATTAATAATGGGGTGAAGCAGATCCGGCATTTGTCTTTTAGCCCTCTTGCAGGCATCACAAGGCACAAGGCTGCCATTGATCAATTACGCCCTTCTTCTCATCACGTTTCCCACACTATGCTCTGAATACCTACGCTTCAGCATCAATATATTTTGATTTTGAATCACCAAAGAGTTCTCGGATTCACTCAGCAATTAAAACACATCTCGCGTCTGCTCATTAAATATCATTTCCCCCGACTAAAGAAACAATGAATCAATTACAGCGCTCCTGGTGGGTTAAAAAGGGACAAAAAAAAAAGTCATATACTTGTAAAGCAAGCTATAGTCACATACAGCAGTGAAAGGAAATAATCACAGTGAAATCAGGAATGGGATCAACTCAGCTGTACATCTGTCACACAGCTGAAATCTGCATATTTCTTTGCTAATTGTTTTAAAAGAAGGCACCAAAAATAGTTGTCGCCACAGCTTCCGCATCAA